GGGGTCGGTCACAAAAAATGAGTAGCGATGTGGAGTAGTTTTTGGAGCTGCGATAGGACTTTAGCTCCGTTGCGCGCATGCAGGAACCCGTCGGGTGTGCCCTTGTTAGCCGACTGGACTTTTGTGATGGTTCCTTTGTGAGGTGCGGTTGACGACCTCGGGCCACTATAGGCTTGCGCAGCCCACCAGGGCGCGAGGTACTTTGTGTGATGCAAGTAGACTTGACTCAGTTCGAACAATATGCCACAAGTTTCTTCATATAAATTAACGAACACATTCCATTTTAATCACTGAGTTTCCTTGGCCACAAGATGAAGGACTAGGGCTCCTTGGTAAAGGTCGCGTTTGCGTGGGGAAGGGCGCACCTTGGTCTGTAGTAATCTGGTGGCCTTTTCAGCATACATATTTCCTATACATAGTAAAAGGTGTTACCCAGATTTATTTCAAGGGATTACTGAGGTTTGGGCGGCCACCTCGGCAATTGCCACCAACTACGGCCACGAGTAGAATCCAGGGCACCGTCGTGCTCAGCTAAATATTAGAATGATATGGCCATATTTGCTTTGCCCAGCTTGCAAAGTTTCAGCGTTTGTGGATCTGGCCAACGGCTTCGTACGCTAAACGGAGCCGGGTGGCTCCGGCGGGCTTGCGGTATTATTAGACACATCATTGTGGGCATGCATTCAAGCCTGAATGAAGTAATATGTTTTCTGACGAGTCTCGATGTCTCTGTCATGTCTCTCAGTACCTCGCAACCGCAATTGTTCTCCGCGGTTCATTCGATGAAATGTTTTATCGCAACGCTGCGTTTGCTTGAGATAACTAACTGAGAATCTGGCATGAAAGGATTTGTTGACAAAAATGTGATGTGGATGTGTTCGGTTTGGTGTGCTCTTTGAGGGTTGCTCTTCGAGGTCGCAGACAAGACTGGCTTTTGCTCGAAACAGGGTTTACCCTTGGCTGAATGTAGTACATTTGCTAGCAGGCGGCGGATGAGCACTACTTCGCAGGAGGACTGAATACTTGTTGCGCTGGACTCTGCTGGACCGTGTCCTATGTTCGCCGTGCGCCGTGCTGCTACTGCTACGGCTCTTGATGCCTATACATTAAAATCTTCGGTGGCGTTGACCAGAAAAACATAGGAGCCTTTGGCAATCCAAGTGAAGCATTTTTAAGAACTCAGCATTCGTAAAAATAGCAGCGAGCACCGTGCCCGAGGCGGCACCCAGTACAGCGGCATGGGTTTCAGAACACGAAAGCATCGATTTCCCCCCTCGCTGAGCAGCTTAAGTGATGGTTAGAAATTACAACCTACTGGCCAAACATGTGAAACAAACGTCATCGGAATTCGCCAGGACCTTTCTGTTGGTCTTGCCTGATAAATCGGAACATGCCGAAAATTGATTCAGCGGGATGAGTTGGGATGTCGTCGGCCCGGAGTTTGCTGATGGAGCCAGGAGGCGGGACCTCTCAGGCAGATGTTTGGGGCTATCATTATGTGTAAGAAGGCATGTACTGCAGTAGTTGTCCGTTGCCGTACGCCGCGATGTCAAGCCCGTTGGATCACACGAACTAGCTGGTTGCTTTCTTCCATGGCAACTAGCTGTTATTTTTCCCGCTCAAGAAAGTATTTGAAGCACTATCTGGGGCCTATACAGCCATCTTACTGATGCAAACCGATGAACCAAACTATTCAATCCCATGTGCCCCATCTATTGGTGCAAGTTAGCATCTCTACTGAAGAATTTTCTTATGAACTATGAAGCCGCCTGCAATTGTTCACCTAACGGGATTTTGAAATACAGTAAAGGCCCTTGCCTTACACTGGGGCACTATGTATGACGCCGTTTCGGCTTGCAACATGCGACATCTTGCAAAAAATCAGTTTTGTTGGTGTTACAGCGGCGCAGAACGGAGGATGGGTGCTGAGTCCAGCTACCAACAGCTTAGGTCGGGATCTTGCTCGCTACTTGACGCCAACAGCAAGGGGCATTTCAGATGGTGGCCGAAGAGGAGAAGCGCACCGCCTGCAGCCTGCAAGCGGCATTCCAGCTGAGCATCCCATCACAGCTTTGCAGCAAATCCTGCAAACGCTTCCACCACACCCGACGCCTTCTAGTCTACAACATGTTCGGCGCTGGCTGGAAGACTCTGGGCTGTGTACTGGCATCCCAGCCTCGCTGGTCGCCAACGGGTGTCGGCCGGAAGCAACAGCGATGACGCGCGACTCTGACGCTATCCTCGCCTACGTTGCAGGCCTCCTCCAGCCCAACACCGGCAATCCCGCGGATCGCCACTGGGCGCGGGGATGTCTGCCGGAGCTTCTCCTCCTCCTTGCTCGGCTCCACATCCCCAGCCATCCAAAGCTGGAAGGGCCACTCATCCTTATCCTCCGCCGCGGCAAACTCCCCACACCCGATTTCCCTACAACTAGTTCCTTCAGCCATCAGGACATCGCTGGATCCGCCGCTAACGTCAACGCCAATGCCAACGCCAACGCCAACGCGGTCGGCGCCCCGCTCCCCCAACACCGCCGCGACGGCACTCCCCCAACACCCCCGCTCAAACCTCCCCCACATCCCACCGCCTTCCGCCTCTGTCAGGCCATGTCCGCTCTTGCAGTTCACAGCCACGAGGCCTGGCAGCAGCTGGCGGAACGTCACTTCCTGTCCCGACCGGGCCCAGTGTTTGACTGCCTCAGCCCCGATCAGCTGGCGCTGGTGGCAGCGGCGTTTTCGCGGGCGGGCTACCATCATGTCGAACTATTCCGGTCCGTGAAGAAGTTGGTTGAGTTGATTTGCTCTTGTTGGGGGCCAGCTATGTTTTAACAGTGTCGTCCTGTATGTCAGTATGTCCAACCACATGTGGTTTAGCTTTCCAGTCACGTCTCGCTGTTGCTGCTACTGTGCCGCGTCATTACCGCCGTTGCTGCTACTGTGCCGCGTCATTACCGCCGCAGGTCCATCGCGGATCGGCTGCTGCCTGCCGTACCCCACCTGCAGCCCGGCAGCCTCGCCCGCGCCCTGCACGCCTTCGCCTCCCTGCGTCACAACGACCCGCACTTCATCTCCGCGATGTGTAGGGAGGTGCACTGCAGAATGAGAGGCGGCGGCGCCGGTGGCGGCGCCGGTGGTGCAGGTGGCGACGCCGCTGTCGGCTCCGCCGCCGCCGGCGGTGTCGGCACCGGCAGCAGCCTCCTTTCCCTTGCTGGCGCCGCCCTCTTTGGCAGCACTCGCGGCGGCCGGCCCGATCGAGCGCACCGCGCGCCGCAGTTCCTGCTCGATGACCTCGCACGACTGGCGGCGGCGGCCGTGCAGCTGGGCGTCAGCGAAGCTGCCGCTCGAGGGTACGGCAGCCGTGGTGGCGGAGGTAGTGCATATGGGGACGGGTTGGGCGGACAGTTGCTGGAGGCGGTGGCAGAAGAGGCGGAAGAAGCGGCGGCGGTGCGGCTGAGGAGTGTGGTCGAGGCAGTGAGGGCGACGGCGGCGGCGGCGGCGGCGGCGGCGGCGGCTGGGGCTGGGGAGGTGTCGCACCCAGCCACGGCGATGGCAGCACCGAATGAGCCGCGTCCGCGGTCTCGGGCTCCGTGGGAATCAAACCAAATCCAAACCCAACCCGGCGTTGATGACAACAGCAGCCGTACGGCGTACGGCGAGTATGATGGGTACGATAGGTACGGGACGGAAGGTGTTGGCGTTGATGGGCAAGAGCCAGATGCGTCGGACCGATTTGGAAACGGCGATGCCAGGGAGCTGTGTGGTCCATGGGTCACGACCAGCAGCAGTAGCAGCAGCTGGGGCAGTGGCAGCAGCACGCCGGTGGATCAATTGGAGCCGGTTTTGACGCTGCTAGAAGCGCTGGCGGTCGGCAGCGCTGCCGGCGGCGCTGGTTGCGCTGCTGCCCACGCCGCGCACGCCATTACGGCGCAGCACCTGGTTCCGGAGCTTCCTTCCTTGGAGCCGTACATGGCGCCACGTCACCTCGTTTCCATGCTGGCGGCGTTGCTGCCCGGGCCCGGTGCTGCGTCGCTGCTCCAGCTAGCACATCCCTATCCCGGTCCGCCGCCGCCGCAGCGACTGTCGTCTTTATCTCGGTCGCTCTTGTCCGGTGACGGTGGTGGCCGCGGCGGCGGCGGCGGCTGCAGTAGCTACATCGGGAAGCGCCCTGCTGCTGAGGCAAGACGTGGCGATGATGCTCCAGGTGAGCATCTGTCGGCGGTGGTGGCGGCTCTGAGCCGGCGATCGGACCTGCGAGTCTTCCGCAGTGGGCGGCACGTCCTGGATGCGTGGCATATGCTGGCGGCGTCTCACGCCGGCGGCGCCGCCGGGACGGACGATCCGCGTGTCACGGGGCAACTTCTGGCGCCCGTCTTTGCCTTCGTCGTACGCCACGTGACCATGCTTGGCTCTGCGCCTGAGGCCTCGCGCTTCTTCGTAAGCTGCGCGTTGCTGTCCGCGTACGACAGAGCCGCGCTGGATGCCATGGCGGCACCGCTGGTGGCGGCGCTCGGTGCCGGCGGCGGCGCCGCCGGCACCACCGTAAAGCAGCCCCCGTCAGGCCAGCGCCAGGGTGTTCGAGACGGCAGCGCCGCCCGCTGGAACACGACGGCAGGCTGCCGTACAGGCGCGCTGACGCCACAGGCGCTGGCGCAATTGGCATGGGCTGTTGGGCAGCTTGGGTACGACAACACGGAGCTTCTTACGGCCATCCAGGTTCGCTCGCGTTCATGTGTGTGTGTGGCTGTTGGCGTTACAATACCCTCTTGCCCACCCCCCACCCTTCCCCCAGGCAGCCCCTGGGGGGCTCCTGATGGCATGATACATAACGCCAACAAGGCTGTCCTAGACCAATGAAGCAACTTACCTGCATTACCTGCGTTATTACCCTAAACCTAGTCCTCTCCACGGGGGGGGGGATGCTTTCCGTTAGTCTCGCAGAAGGTGTTGTTTTTGTTCCTTTTGGGAATGCAGCCCTAATATCTGCGTGTTACAGAGTGAGTGGATTCCGGGGCATATACGTTTGCATTCACTTTTGGAGGTGGATATGGGGGTGATTTCCCTCCTATAAGGCTAAAGACATCAGTTTTGTGTCGAGCGCGGAAAAGAAGGTTTGGCCTTTCCCGTCGCCGTGATGATTCTTGCCGTACGACGTACGACTGTCCCTCTTGGGCCGTGTTCGTAACGAAACGTAGAACCAGGCACTGGCGTTGAGCGCTCCCTTCCATTCCTTGGAGCATCAGCGCCGCATGCAGCCACATGCCGATGAAGACCCCGCTGCTGCTGCTGCTGGCGGCGGTGCGGCAGCGGCAGCGGCGGCGGAGGCGGCGGCCGCCGGGCTGGCCGCGGCGGCGCCGCCGTTGGGTCCCTTGGAGCTCGCTGACGTGATGTGGTGTCTGGCGGTTAACCAGTTCCGTACAAACCTGGGGGCGGAGATACGGGAGCTGTACATGAGGGTAAGCGCTTGCTGACTACCATAAACAACTACCACCATAAATTGCCAACGAATTTCACGACTTTTTGTTTTTTAGGTGTGGGGTAAACCTTTCCTGCATGTGCGGTCCATGTTCTTGGGGGATATGATCACACCTCGTCACCTCGTCATCATGTCCGTATCACCGGCCATGTGGAGTTGTGTAATCTTCGCCACAACAATCCACCCATCCACCAGCCCCAACCCCACTCCACCCCCGGCCCTGTCGCCCATCCACTCGTTGATTGACTGATACACTCGTTGACCCCCTCCCCCCTCCCGGTGGCAGGCAGCCACTCACGGTGTGGTCCACATTGACGACCCTCGCTGGCTACGGCTCGTGCAAGTGCACGTGTTGCTGCTGCTGGGCTGGGCGGGTGGGCTGGGGGAGGCGGCGGCGGGGCGGCTGCGCAGCAGCTGGTTCAACGCACTGGGTTACGCCTGGGAGCACCAGGTAGGGTGGGGTGGGATGGGATGGGATGGGTGCTTGTGATGTCTCTTGCACTTCAGAGGTGGTGGAAGCCTTGCGTTCCGTTCAATGCCCCTCGTACAGTGTACGACGTGTGTCATTACGGAGGCTAATAAGCTTCTCCAATTCCAAAATCCACTGAAGGTTTTGTCCGGGAAATAGTATTTATCAGTACCAACGAAAACCTGTAGTCAAACCCCAAATGAAATTAAATTTCTTATCTCCTCTCCACCATTGAAATAAATTGTTTTGTGTCAAAACCAGATTTCTCTAACTAGGACTAAAAACCTAATGGCGCAGGCGGTGGACCGAGGAGAGCAGCTGGCGGGACCCACGGGTCTGCCGCCAGACCCAGATGCTGCTGTCAGAGCCTTTCGGCACGGCGTCACCACCTCCGTACGCGACCTCAGCCGCGCCGGCATTCCGCCTGCGGTGTCACCCCGCGACGTTAGTGGCAGCAACAGCAGCAGTAGCAGTGGCACCGGCGGCAGGTTGCGGCTACAGACCAACTACGTGTGGGGCATGCTACAGCCGTCCTCTGATATTCGCCTGACCGTGCCGCTGCTGGTTCGTCTCAAGCCAGCAGCACCGGCGGCAGCGGCCAATGAGGCGGCGGCGGCGGCGTTTCGCGGAGGTGGATTTACATTGGGGCCCAGCAGCAGCAGCAGCAGCGGCGGCGGCGGCGGTGGCGGCAGTAGCAGTGAGTGGGTTATCGCATTGGATTTGGTCCGCTGTGCAGATGAGGCGGCGACGGTGGCGACGGCGGCCAGGCCCGTAGCGGCGGCGGCGATGGCAGCAGTACTGCGGGTTTCGGAGATAGCGAATGAGCTGGCGCCTCCGCCACTGCCGCCGCCGTCGCCGCAGCAACAGCAGGGCCAGGCAGGCGGGTCGCAGGGGGTGGGGCCCCATCTGCTTGGTCCGACGCGGTGGCGGCAGCTAGTACTTCGTCGGCTGGGGGTGATTGTTCGGCCAATTCGGCAGGAGGACTGGGAGCAGGCGGACGAGCTGCAACGTGGGGCGATGCTGCTGCAGGCACTGCGCCTGTGAAAAGATTGTGGACCGCCGCGGGCGTAAAAGAAAAGGTCGAAAAGATGAGTCCCGAAGCCCTGTGGAAAATAGTACGGATAGCTACACGCGGGGCAGTGTTCTTGTTGTTGTTGTTTTGTTGTAGTAGTTTGTTATCGGTCTTGTTACAGTGGTAGTGGTAGTTTCCTGCAAGTCCTGCAGGGGGTTCTGCTGCTGGGTAGTGTGTAAGGGCGTTTGCTCGCCCCTGCCTGTATGCCAGGTGGTAGGTATAGTTTCCGTTTCCTTTTGGTATCCAAGGTTACTATTGGATGAGCAATAAAGCCTTGTAGGAAACAATTCATACAAGTTCTGTCGCCTGATCGTGAACGGATCACAACGCCGGCCGGTGCTACCCTGAAAGCTACAACATAGCTGTACCTATTTCACATTTGGAGGAGTTCTACCACCTATTTTTTTATGCAAAAGTGCTGAAATCAGATGGTTCACCTGCGATCTGTTTCAAATTTCAGAATTACTGGGGCAAAAATGTCTAATTACTGTACGCAAGTAATGAGGAGATCACGTTATGTTGAGGGCTGCGTGGAATCTTACTGTTGATTTTGCTGCCTATGATCGCCCGTTGGAACGAGAGGTTCGTACGGCCTTGGCGACATCGCTCGCCTTTTCATATAACAGCAAGTCAGCAGAATCGGTTTTGCAAGTGCCAATACGTTCGCTGCGGGTTAAAGTCCACGTCGGCAAGGATTAACACCGATCCTGCGTATAAACTTTGCACCGCGATGGCACAGCCAATTACAAGCAAGACGGTTGTCGTCACAGGAGGCAGCAGGTACTCGCTCTTACCACATAACATTCCATCCAATTTCAATCAGGCCATACATATTCAGATTATAGCGACTGCAACCACGGTCACACTTCCGATGCCCCAATTTCTCCTGTCACCGCCCGCAGGGGCATCGGCCTAGGGCTGGTCAAGAAGTTTCTGTCCCGCAACAACACAGTTATCGCCACAAGCCGTAAATCGGCGGAAGCTTACCAACTGCACGAGCTGCGCAAGCAGTACCCCGAGCGCCTCATCCTCACAGATGTGGACACCAGCGCCGCCGCCAGCATCGCCGAGTGGGCTCAGGACATGAAGGAAGCCAGAGGCGTCAAACACATAGATGTGAGTTTTGAAGTTACAGGTGGACTTTTGGCGAGCCGGGCATGAGGGCCACGCGGCACCACCGAGCGCTGCAATATTGCCGTGCTAGGAAAACAAGTGGTACTGCGACCCTGCACCACTGAAATCAAAGCCATGAAGGGCCTTCGTATCAGTACGGCCACAGCAATAGCAGCAGCAGCAATAGCAGCAGTAGCACACATGACAATAGCAGCAGCAGCAGCAGTAGTGACCAGGACAGATCACGACATGGACAGCTATCTTCCCCCTAGCACCTAAAGGTGTTGCTACCGGCGGGCAGCGGACCTGCAGCTCCTGAAATCTCCAATCAACGGGCAGCTGTGTGTATTTGCATGTGCGTTTGCAACAAGTGAACCCACCGCGAAGGGGAAATAAACTGCATTTATGCATCACATGTACATTTTATATAAAATCATAATAAAATTTTGTTGTACACGTTCCCTCCGCTGCACACACCGACACAGGTGTTGGTCAACAACGCGGGCGTGTACGGCAGGCGCCCAGAGCTGCTGGACTTTGAAGAGGAGGACTTTCTGTTCGCGTTCAGAACCAACTCCATGGGGCCCTTCTTTGTGGTACAACAATTGCTAAAACAGGTAATACGATGTACGGCGCGTCAATGTCCGATGCATCCGGGATGTCTATCACCTATCCCCGGCATCTGTTTCCCTCGAAAAGCACCGATGGGGTGGCTCTCTGAAGAATATTTACAACGCTTTCAAGCCTCTCCTATATACATGAACATGACCATTCCTAAAAAACCGCTAAACTGCCAGGAGCTGATGGGCTCTACCCCCGACCTACCTGGCGGCACCTCCCTCATCGCCAACATCTCTTCCGTGGTGGGATCGAACACGGAAAAGACGGTGTCGGCGGTGATGAAGGGCGGCTTCGCGTACAGGTTTGGGGGGGTCTGGAGTGGGGGGTGGGGTTTGGGCCGGGGGGCTCCTAGGGTTTGGCTAGCGACCTGACATGTGGCACACGACCAGTGTTTAGTCCGCCGTACAAAGGTCGTACAATATTACGAATACGGCTTCTGTGCTGGACGTATGTGAGGCCTATTCAGGTGGGGCGAGAGGCCTGAGCTGAGGTGAACAGCTTCATGCATGGCGTTCCTCTTAACTTGTACGTACGCGGAGGATTTTTTGGTGTAATGATTCCTCTGCATTTTTAAGGAAGGGGGCAGGGACGCCGCTTTCTTCTTCGTGCTGATTGAGCCATAGGAAGGTAGGAGATAGGAGCGCACGCTTAGTGTGGTCACAACCCTTATGCCTATTATTATTATTATTATATATTATTATATATTATTATATATTATTATATATTATTATTATCATTATTAATGATTATTATTATTATTATTTATTTTTTTATTACTGTCGTTGTTGCTGCTGCTGTTCTCCCTCATCCCTGTCTCACTCTGCGTTCTCCAGACAGGACGGGGAGAGGGAGAGGGAGAGAAGCTGACTCATCGACTACCCATGCACTCATACCCACACTTACTCGCAACCGCATGCGTGCTGCAACGCGGCATCCGATCCCCTCCTCGGCATTACCCACCCCCCCCCGCGCAAGAACCCTTTGTTATGCTGTGCGTGTGCACGTGTGCATATGTGTGTGTATGTGTGTGTATGTGTGTGCACGTGTGCATATGTGTGTGTATGTGTGTGCACGTGTGCATATGTGTGTATGTGTGTGCACGTGTGCATATGTGTGTGTATGTGTGTGCACGTGTGCATATGTGTGTGTATGTGTGTGCACGTGTGCATATGTGTGTGTATGTGTGTGCACGTGTGCATATGTGTGTGTATGTGTGTGTATGTGTGTGTATGTGTGTATATGCGCCGTGTCACCTTGCTGCCCTCCCCCCCCTCAGGGCCTCGAAGGCGGCACTCAACGTCATGACCACCACCCTGGCGAGGGACCTCGCCCCCCAGGGCATCCAGGTGGTGGCACTGCACCCTGGATACGTGAAGACCGACATGACGGGTGAGGAGGGCATGCAGACAGACTG